TACTTTACTTCCAGCGGCAGGAACTTCTGGATGGATCGGTGCCTTTTCTTCCGTTTGTGACGTCTCCCATCTCCGCAGTTGCTGCTTGGCGAGGGGTGGCAGCGGTGGCGGCAACAGCTGCAGTTTTGATGTTGCCTTCGGAGGGGTCTGGGACTGCTGGTTCAGCCCCTCCTTCATCTGTCCCTTCTGCGGAACCCAGGCAAATGGTGCCCCGGCATGGGTCAGCTTTCTCTTCCCTCATGGAGTTGAGTGCTATTTTCATCATGCAGATTGCTTGCTCCAACAATCGGCTGGAATGTAGCGGCCAATCCTCCTCGTCTTCGCTAAGGCAGAGAGACCTCTCCATCTCGACCTTCCAACCTGGTTGATGACTGCCCTGTCTGAGCATCACCTTCCTGGCCTTCTTTTCCCAGTCCTCTTTCTTCCCAACACCAATCGACCACCTGGGTTTATGGCAGTGATCTACGACCACTGCTTCTTCCGATGAGCTGGAGGATCCGGAGCTGGAGTATTTGCAGGGATCTGCTCGGTGGGAGGCTTCCCCCCATTGCAGGTTCCTCTCTGTCTATTCCAATATCTGACATGGTTTGCTAAGTCCCCTGGTAAGGGTCTTCCTTCCAGGTGACTGTTACTGCAGATTCTGTCTAGTGACAGGGCCCACTTCAATACCTCATCCTAAGAAAGCAGAACTTGTGGAAGCAATTTCTTCCAAAAGGAACTTTTATTAGGAGAAGCTGATAGCAGGCAATATAGACAGGATCTGAGGGTTTCCCACTCAGATCAATGGGTTAAAAGACTCCCCAGCAAACCCCACCCCAATAGTTCATCCGATCAGTTTGAATGGGCCAATCCTCAGGTGTTAAGTCCATTGTGGAAAAGTTGCTGATAACACTGGTCTTTCCCAGGCTCGTAGTGATGTTGTGGCTTTGCACCTTTCCTTCTGAAATGGGAGATAAGCCAGATGTCTGGAGGCTCATTTCTTTCTCCCCCAAGGTGACATCAAGGGAGAAACAGTTCAAAGAGTAAGTATGAAGAGAAAGCGAAAGAAATACATTGTAGTGATAAAGAAAACATAGAGACATCCTGCAGCAGTTCCCCCCTCCCCTCTAGGAGTATGACAGAACCCAGAGCAATAGAAGAAATAGAATGAGAGAGAGTTCTCCTTAATAATATATGGGTTCTGACACATACCACAGTAGTAATCAGAGATCACAACTATCCAGATATCAATTGGGAGACAAACTCTGCAGCGAGCCGGTGATCAAACAGATTCCTAAACAACCTAGCTGACAACTTTGTCATCCAAAAGGTGGAGGAAGGAACTAGACATAAAGCTATACTGGGCCTAATTCTTACTAATAGAGAAGGAGTTGAAGATGCCAACTGGGTGAAAGTGACCATGTCATACTGGAATTCAATAAAAGGCAGACACTAGCAATAGTAAACAATCCAACCAGTGTCTTAAACTTCAAAAGAGCTGATTTTAACAAACTCAGAGAGAACCTAGGAAAGATCCCATGGATGAAAATCCTAAAGAGGAAAACAACCCAAAACGCGTGGGAAACTTGGAAAAATGTGATCATAAAAGTCTAGTCCAGCACAATACCACTGAAAAAGGAAAACAAGAAATTCAAGAAGAAACCAGCATGGCTGCATAAAGATCTCTCTGACAAACTGAAAGACAAAAAGGATAACTACCAAAAATGGAAAGAGGGACACGAAACTAAGGCTAATTATCTGCAGACAGCCAGAACATGCAAAGATGAAGTCAGGAAAGCAAAGACTCAGAATGAACAAAGACTTGCAACAAAAATCAAGGGTAATAAAAAAAGTTTCTTATTATTTCATTAATTCATATTAACAACAAGAAAAAAGTTAAGGAAAGTGTAGGTCCACAAAAGAGAGAGGATGGCAAGGAAATAACAGACAACAGGGAGAAAGCAGAGCTGCTTAACTCATTCTTTGCATCAGTTCACACAAAAAGAAACTACAGCCCAACATACCCCAAAAACCACTGCAAAAGACAAACTAGAAACAAAAATTAAAATAAGCAGGAAAATGATAAGAGAACACTTAGCCGACCTTGACGAATATAAATCATTGGGACCCGACAGACTACATCCCAGAGTTCTGAAGGAGCTGGCAGATGTTATCTCACAACATCAGGGGAACTCATCAAATTTGCAGATGACACTAAACTGGCAGGAGTATCCAACACCCAGAAGACAAACTCAGGATCCAAAAAGATCTTGACAAACTTAAACAATGGGCCCTATCCAACAAAATGAGTTTCAATGTGGAGAAAAGCAAAGTTTTACATTTAGGCAGGAAAAATCAAAGGTTTAAGTACAGATTAGATGAGACCTGGCTTAAAAACAGCAACTGTGAGAGGGACCTTGGAATCCTAGTGGATGATCACTTGACTATAAGTCAGCAGTGTGCAGCAGCAGCCAAAAATGCTAATACAATCCTGGGTTGTATAAACAGAGGCATAGAATCAAGATCACGTAAAGTATTAGTACTGCTTTATAAAACCCTAGTAAGACCACATCTGGAATACTGCAGCCAGTTTTGGTCACCATATCACAAAAAAGATGTTGAGACCTTGGAAAAAATTCTTTGAAGAGCAACTAAGATGATCAAAGGCCTGGAGACTAAAACATATGAAGAACGGCTACGGGATTTGGGTTTGGCTAGTCTAAAGAAAAGAAGAAATAGGGGAGACATGATAGCAGTGTTCCAGTATTTGAGGGGCTGCCACAAAGAAGAGGGGGTCATGTTATTCTCCAAAGCACCAGAGGGCAGAACAAGAAACAATGGTTGGAAACTGATCAAACTGATCAAAGAGAATTAAGAAGAATTAAGGAGAAACTTTCTGATAGTGAGGACAATTAACCAGTGGAACAGCTTGCCTCCAGAAATCGTGGGCGCTCCATCACTGGAGATTTTTAAGACTTTTATCAAAAGGTTGCCCCATCCAATCCAAATTCTTCTCTGTATGTTTTATTTTGACTTGTCCACCAAAACAGCTAATTAGATCATGTGTCCCTAATGTATAATCTGAATCCATCATATTCGTTTCCTACCTCATTGTCTAAATTGTGAGAGTACTGAGCATCATGCAACTGAGCAAGTTCAAGAAAGCAAGAAATTACACAGAATTCAGTAAAATCTTTAATACTCCTCTGGAGAAATACAGAACCTTGGAAAACGTAAATAAAATCTCCCAGCTTCATTTATAATGAGGAAATAAAGGTAAAGTATTTTGAATATTTTGCAATGATTCTTTCTGCCTAGATTTCTTCCCACCTGGGCTGAGTTGCCATTTAAGCTATCAACTGCCTCGCCAATCATCTCTTCATATTTTATATCCCTTCCATTCTTTTCCTCGTCTTCCATAATCCCTCACAGATAGCTAGCTACTCTAGAGAACTCAATGTTTCTACATTGCTTCTTAATACAGGGTGGAGTAATTACTGCTATTTGCCATTGCTATCAAGGAAGCATTGACAAGGCCATTGACATAATAAGGAGGCCCTCTGTGAAATCTGCATGGAACCTGCTCAAACCTAGAGCACATACTGCTGAACCTGGTTTGCACCAGCACAGAATTCATATAAGGAATTGCATGGAGGTCATCAGAGTGCAGAAGATTCTCTTGATCTTATGTTACATCCTGGTATTATGTTACATACACCCACACACTTAATAAAAAGAAAAAAGAAAGCAAGAAATGCTATCTTGTAGGAAAAAAATACAACATGATGAAAGGGTACTATCAAAGGTCTGGGTGATACTTAGTGTTCCAACAAGCAAATATTCTCTTCTAGGGAACTTGTATTTCAGGTTCAGTGTCCCAAATGAGAAATCAGATTATTTCACAATAGAGAATAAATGAATCAATCTAGGTAAGATATATTTTTTTTAAAAAGTGGAATGGTCTCTCACCTCCCTGTTATAGGATGGTAATTGAGAAGTAATTAAATATATAACAGAAAAGTAAAATGGATTTCAAAAGCACATCTATAAGATTTCTTAAGTGTATCTTATATTTATATGAATATCTAGGCTCTTCCAAGGAAGCATGGCCTGCAAAAGCAAAATAATGCCATCTTTGGCAGCAATGAAAAAAAGTTTATTGAACCTTCAGAGAGCCATTGATGATCACAGTTTGATAGAATAGGATGCAATTTTCTCAGCTCATATCAAGATACATCAATGAAAAAAATTATTTACTTTTTAATTTAATTCTATATAGTTAAAATTTCTTGTATCAAATAATTATTCTAATATTGGCTGCTATTGAAACTTAATTTAATAGGATGCAAATTTAACTGCACTGGGTTAGAAGGATGTTCTTAAAGAGCCTCAAATACTGAATAGAAAATGTGCAAAGATTTGACTGTTATCCCTTGATAACTTTTTTGTATAAAGTTTTTCTGAATGAATCAGGGATCAATAGTGTCTCACTGACTAATAATTTCCAATTCATTATGAAAATATTGCTTCCTCTTGCTATTAATAATGCCATTCAAAAATATGTCAGCTACATCTGCTTCCTCTGATGCCCAGTTCTGTCCTCAGTTACAGTACAGGATTTCAACTGCACCAACAACAGCAAATTAGTAAATCTTCACATAATATAAACAACAAAATTAATTAAAAAAACACCCACAGACCATCAGTGTTGTCACTTCTCTTGTTGTTCTACCTATTGCTTTATTCAAACATGATTTTTAAAACCATCACAAACAGTAATAATGGTTATACTTGATACATTTGCTCTAGCAGCTTTTTAATATGAATTTATTTGGGCCACCTGCAGATTTTTGTTGTACTAAGTCACAAATAATGATTAGTATTGACAAACAGTTATGAAACATGCCACTTGTTACAAACTCCCATGTTTTTAATTGCCTTTTCAATCATTTTCACTTTGCCTCCTAAAGAATTACCCAGCAAAGAACAAGCAAGTTTATCTAAACTTGGAAGAATCTTACCTGTGATGGATTTAATTGTGTCAGTAGATGCTGTATGTCCAAGCAGGTCATATTGAACTAAACTGGAAGACTCTTCAGGGACTTCCACTGAATGTTTTGGCCCTTTTGTCCAGGTGTAGATCATTTCACTCTTTGGATATGCATCTGAACAAGATATATTTAGAAAAAAAATTAATGGACAGGACATTAGTCTTAAGAACTTATCTTAAAACCCATTGAAAGCATTCATGTTGCTTTCAGGGACACCAGCTTTCTTTTTTGACAAAGACATAAGCCTCTAGCTATTCTCTGACCTGTTTCTTACAACAAGAACAAAAATGAAGCTTTAGTACCATAAGTAAAATGTCATAACGGGGACTTACAGCTTCCAAATTTTAGCGGACAAGCATGTCCATCCATTGGGAAGTCCACCAATCTCATGGGACACTCGGCACTTATGGTGAGCCTATAGGAACCATGTAAAATTAGTCCTGACATCGGATAGTACATCAGCAATTAATAAATCATGTAAAAGTACAGAATATATAAAGCAGTTACCTCATTGTATAGAGAATGGTGCCATTTCTCATAATTCTAAATAGTTTATTTGGGGCTGTCATGTTATGAGACACAGATTTTTTTCCATTTCGAAAGAAAGTATCTGGGGTCCACACTTTGTTAACCATCAAGTTGTTTAATCTTAGAATTTCAATGGGACCATCATATTTTAATCTCTTGTCTACCCATGTCTGACGAAAGAAAACATCCATTGTGTATTCCTACAATAATTGGGAAGCAAATGAAATAATGTTATACAGTACATGTATTTCACCGACAAATCAATGATAGGAAACTATAAATTCCCTAAACACTATCAATTTGACAGAACTATAAACATTTTAATACTTTAATTTTCTACATTAGTTATATAAATTATTAAACATACTAAATCAAAAATAATTAGTGTAATCTAATAGAATGGCAAGAAGTATGTAATTAAATTTGTTCACGACTGGAAACAAAATGATTAATTGACTAACATATGTTAATGATTTTGTGTCCATGCTATTTTGTTTTTTTCTACAAATGATTAAAATTTACACTGGGAATATACTGTACTGTATGCTTATAGCAAACAAATGAAAGAAATGTTATTGAATTGCAACCAGTAAAAACATCATTGGGTTAAACAAAAAGCGAGGACAGATTTTCCACAAAATAGTAAGTCTTCTGACTTCACCACCATTTATATTTAAGATAGATATGGAAGTTTGTAAATCATGCAGAATCATTTTAAGTGGGCCCTCAGCATCTAGGCATATTGCTCAATAGAGAAGACCCCTGCATTGGGACATTCACAAGAAGTCTTAAAAAAAATCAAGATGGTGGCCATAATCACCTAATCAAGACCCTCTCCTGTCTTAAAATACATGTGTGGGGGTGTTTTCAATCATATAGTTCTGGGCACCATTTCTATTTCTATCTGGGGATGGTTATACAACTATTGCAATGTCCTGCAAGTGTCAAAACTGAATAAAATAAAAATAAAATAAAAATGCATTGTGTAGAATTCAATTTCTAAAAATTTCAGTTTATCCTTTATTATTCTTTTAAAACTGTTATTGCAAGATAATTGCTTACATATATATGTAATGTGTGGTATAATTGGAAAATTCAGAGGTGTTTCTGAACTAAATATCAAGGAACTGGGACATAGGATCAGTGTTGATGCTATTTCTTGCCTTTCCTCCCAGGCAAATGGGATGATTTCACTTGGTGGCGAACCTATGGCATGCGTGCCAGAGGCGGAACTCAGAGCCTTCTCTGTGGCACGCGTGCCGTCGGCCCTGCCCCACCTCCTCCCACAGCCCCTTCTCACCAGCAGCCCCACTGGAGGAGAATCGCCCCTGAGCGCGGCCCATGTGGAGCAGCGCAGCCAAAGACATGGCAGCCGGACAGTGGGGACAAGACTCCGCCCTCACACCCCATCACATGCAGATGATGCTACAGGGCATGGGCTGAGACCATGGCCGCCATGGTGCTGCTGGGCCACCTGGGCAATCTGCTGCAGCGATCCTTGGAGGTGGGTAGCTCGGGGGGTGGGGTGGGGTCAGACTGGGTGGGGTGGGGTGGGAAGCGGAGCAGGGCAGGCAGGGAGGTGGGGGCGGTTTTTGGGCCCTTGGTCTCTAAAAGATTCACCATCACTGTTGTAGTATATTCATCATATCCTGACTGACTTCAGTCAAGCACCCATCCCTACCATGCCAATTTTTTTGAGGTTTTTTTCTTTTTTAAAATATGGAAAGACCAGAATAGAAGCTGTCATAGCCACATGTAATAAAGCCTGAAAATAAGCTATTGGTAATCTGGTAATTTTTTACATGAATAACAGGTGAATCCCAAAGCCCTTCATTTAGTCACCTACTTAGTACTAGCTTTAATTTTTTTCCCTCCTTAAGCCTACCAAAATACTCAAACTTACCATTTCTACATCAGAAACAGGTCCAAAACTTGTGACATAGATATCTGTTTTGACTTCAGTAACAGGACCTAATGTATAAAAAGAAAGTAACCAAGGAGAATTGAATTGTTTCACATCAAAAACTAGGAAAAAATTATGCAGACCAGTAATGCTAAGACTTACAGGAACAATTCATTGGCCTCATTTTAGGAAAATGAAGCACTAACATGTGGCAGCTGTATTTACAGATTCTTGTATAATATGGATTTCCATATACCTTTATATAATTTCGTTTGTTTATGCAAATACAATTCATATACAGTTTTGTAGTGCTCCATTTCCCACTGACATGGATAAGAGAATATATAGTATATGCATAAAAACCTAATTCCATACTACTTCAAACAAGAGAAAATAAATTGTACTACTCTATTTTTAAAATATCTCCTTATGCAAATTATTTATCTACAATAAGTTCTTCTATCACTTGCTCTATGTTTAAAAACCGAATTACATTAGCAATAGCAACAGCATTTATATACTGTTCCATAGTGCTTTACAGCACTCTTTGAATGGTTTACAATGTCAGCATATTACCCTCAGCAACCTGGGTCCTCATTTTACTGACCTCAGAAGGATGTTGAGCCCATCAATATCAAATTCCAGGATGTGGGCACAGTTAGCCTGCAATACTGCCTTCTAACCAATGCACCACCAGGGCTTATACCATATAATTCAGACCATTAGAGTTGAATTAGCAGAATTAGCAGAAACATTTGAAGTTTTTTTAACTATTGCATGGAACTTCATGTCAGGTCTCCTTTTGGGTGCCCTGCCATTCTGTTGGAGGGGGGAGGGGGAGGGGAGGCTCCAGGGAGCATTCTTTTCATGCTTTCTCTTCTGCTGTAACCTTAGGGAGATTATCTTTGGAGATGGGATGGACTCCCTCCCAGCCGGTTCCAGCCTTACTCCAAGGTCGCTGTGCCCTGAGGATGACCCGTTATCTGTCCTGTACCTCAGCACTCTCAAAACAACCTTGCAGCAATGTATTGGCTGCTGGTGGACTGGTTAGGGGGTTGGGTTTTTGAATGGGAAGAATAGCTTGGTGCTTTGCGCGGGATCGTTAGATTCAACCTGACCTTATTGCAACCACTATCTCTCAGGAAAGTTCTTTAGATTAAGCACATGGTGTCAAGAGTCATTCTTTCCTGAGAGGGCCAACTGGGGCAAGTGTTTACATTAGGCAGAATTTGCAATAGTGGTCAATTCAGAGAAGTACTTATCTATACCATGGGGAGTGTGCAAGGAATGTCTGCACAAGGTAGTGACCAGGAGGAAGCAAAGTGCTGGGGAGAAGCCTCTACCAAGGCTCACCCTGGGGCAGACCTCAGCAGGTGGACAGAGGATACAGATTGGATACCCCACTCAAAGCAGAGGAATTTGTCAACAACCACAGAGCCTTTTTGGAAAAAGGCGAATCCGAACCCAAGAAACAAGGGGAAGCGAGTGTTGTAGGAGCGCCTAAACAAGTGGAGGAGGAAAAACTTAAAAAGAACCATTTAGAGGAAGGAACAAGACTGAGAGACCAGAGGAAGATAAGCTCCCCTAGAAGATTGAGGTCCAGATATAATTGAAGTCATGGAGGAGGTTGGAATCTTTTCAATAAATATAAGTGGTTTGAATTCTCCTTCAAAGAGAAGAAAAACTTTTACTAGACTACAAATGTTAAAAAAGGACATAACTTGTCTGCAAGAGACACACATCAAGAGACAACATTCTAGAATCTTAGAACAACCAAAAATGGGTAAGCTTTACTTCTCCCTGGCACTTCAAAAGAAAAGAGTATAGCTGTTTATATAAAAGAAAAGATGAATCCAAAACAAGTTTATGTAGATGAAGAAGGCAGAATATTAATGGTGGAAATTACGTGGAATCAAAAACAGATACTGATGGTTGCAATATATGCACCCAATGATAAGCAAGACCAATTTTATCATCAATTACATAATAAAATAGTGGACTTAAACTACCAAAACATTTGTATACTGGGAGACTTTAATGCAATAGTTGATACAACTTGGGACTATAAAAGCCATAAACAAGGCAAAAAAGGGGGAAACATTTTACCCAAGACCTTTTTAAAAATGAAAGAAGAACTGTCCATTCAAGATATATGGAGAGAGATGAACCCAGGAAAATCACAATATATGTTCTATTCAAATAGGCACAAATCTTGGTCAAGAATTGATATGATATGGACATCTTATGACTTAAAAACTATAATACAAGAGGTTGAAATAGAAACTACTATTTGGGCAGACCACAATCCAATTAAAATGACCTGGAAAGGAACTAGGAAAAAACGTAAGATGGTCGCTGAATAAATCTATATTGAAAGAAAAAGATTTTCTACAATTAGCAACGGAGGAAATGGAATTTTTTTTTAAATAAAGAAGAAACCTCTCTCCAAAATGTGTGGGATACGGCTAAAGCATATTTTAGAGGTTTGGCCATAACTTATGTTACTAAAAAGAATAAAGAAAAGAAACAATTGCAGCTAAAGTTGAAAGAAGAACTTAAAAAATTAGAATCTGAGTTACAAATTGACCCACAAAAAAAGATTTTGAAGACACAAATGGAATTAATAAAACATAAATTAAACCTAACTGAGATGGATATAATGGCACAGCAGATCAAACGATCTAAACAGAACTTTTTTGAAAATGCTAATAAACCGGGAAGATGGTTAGCATATAGACTGAAGAAAGAAAAAGAAAAAAGAATGATAAATAAACTACAAGACTCAAAAGGTGAGCTACACTTCCACAATGACACAATTAAAAAAATTACTAAGGCTTATTATGAGACACTCTATAAGGCAGAGGTGGTTTCCAAAGAGGGAATACAGGATTATTTAAAAGGAACTGATCTCCCAAAAGTCCCAGAGAACATTTGAAATATATTAAACGAGAAAATATCAATGATGGAGATTACAGAAGCTATAAAAAGGCAAAAGAAGGACAAGACTCCGGGTCCTGATGGACTTCCTGCAGAATTCTATGTAGCTCTACAAGACACACTAAGTCCAATTTTGAAGGAACTGTACAATGACATTTTCTCAGAGATAAAAATAGCAAACCCGTGGACTGAAGCTAATATCACCTTGATACCTAAAGAAGACACTGACTCTACACAAATAAAAAACTATAGACCAATATCGTTATTAAATGTGGACTATAAAATCTTTGCTTCAATAATGGCAGAAAGAATGAAGAAATTTCTGATTGAATTTATCCACACAGATCAAAATGGCTTTTTGCCTAAGAGACAGATAAGAGCAATTTAAGGATTATTTTAAATGTTTTGGAATACTACGAAAACCAACCAGGGAAACAGATGGCACTGATATTTCTTGACGCACAAAAAGCTTTTGACAACTTAAATTGGCAATTTATGTTCCAACAGCTGATGGAAATGGATTTCGGCGAAAATTTTATAAATGCAATTCAAGCAATCTATAATAAACAAACAGCAAACAGCAAGGATACTTCTAAATGGAGATTATACAGAAAGTTTTGATATCAAAAAAGGCACAAGACAGGGATGTCCATTATCTCCCGTGTTATTTATCCTCACATTGGAAGTATTGACTAGAAATATTAGGCAGGATATGGAAATCAAAGGATTGGAGATAAAAGATCAGAAATATAAACTACAAGCCTTTGCAGATGACTTGGTTTTCATTTTGGAGGAGCCACTAGAAACATCTACTAAACTTTTGCAGAAAATAGAGAAATTCAGAGAAGTGGCCGGTTTGAAAATAAACAGGGAAAAAACTAAGGTATTAACAAAAAACCTAACAGATAAACAGAAAACCCAATTTGTAAAAAAGACAAATCTCCAAATAGTCAAAAAAGTCAAATACCTAGGTATCCACTTAACATCAAAATACACAACATTAAAAGAAGATAATTATGAAAGATTATTGAAACAAATCAAAATAGACTTGGAAAAGTGGAAAAATCTTCAACTGTCATTGTTAGGAAGAATAGCAACAGTGAAGATGAGTATCCTACCGAAGCTATTTTTTCTATTTCAAACAGTTCCTGTAAAACTGGGAAAGAATTTTTTTGATGATTTAAATGCAATAATATTGAGATTTATATGGCAAGGGAAAAAAGCACGAATTAAAATTAAAATGTTACAAGAAGCTAAAGATAGTGGAGGATTTGGACTCCCAGACTGGAGACTTTATTACCAAGCAGCCATTTTGCTTTGGCTTAAAGAATGGATAATGTTGAGAAATAAGACTTCTCTACTTAGTGGGACATGACTTACAATTGGGTTGGCATGCTTTCCTGTGGTATGGGAAAAATAAAGTACACAAATATTTTCAAAACCACGCTATAAGGAATGTACTTTTGCTAGAATGGGAGAGAATTAAACAAAAAATTTATACTAAAATACCTGAGTGGCTTTCAACAATGGAAGCGTTCACTTACCCAAATTTAATTAATTATGACAGACTTGTTACCTATAAAGACATTTTGGATAAGAACGGAAAACTTAAAGACAGGCAAGACCTTCAACAACAAGGTATTGACTTAGCATGGTGGCCTTATTTGCAAATTCAAACAAGATATGAAAAAGATGCAAAGTCAATGGGATTTTATAAAGAACAGATACAATTTGATAAAATACTTTTGAAAACAGATGAAAATTTAATTAAGAAACTCTATAAATTCCTCCTAAACTGGAAGATGGAAGAAGAAAAGTAAAAGAAACAATGATAGTTTGGGCAAAATTCTTTGGATATTCTATAGATCTAGAAGATTGGCAAAAGCTTTGGGATAGAAACATCAAACCTACTAAAGCAGCCTCATACAAAGAAAATGTATATAAAATGTTTTATAGATGGCATATGATACCAGTTAGATTAGCGAAAATGTTTTAAAATGTATCAAATAACTGTTGGAAATGTAAACAAAAACCAGGTACTACTATCATATCTAGTGGGTATGTCCTAGCGCAGTGGTTCTCAACCTTTTTAATGCCGCGACCCCAACCGGTCGTAAGTCGAGGACTAAAC